AAAGTGCTTGAATGAGGGCTTCAGGGCATACAGAAATATTAAAAATCTGATCATCGTAAGGAATAAAGGATCTATGACATTCTGCATACAATAGAGTCCATATTTGGATTACAACAGGTTGGTGGGCGGAGCCACCTGGACCGCTTCTACTTTCAGAATCGTTTTTCTTGCTTCGGAATTCGTCCTCTGCGACGAGATTTGGGAGTTACCTACAACTAGTGCCCTACTATCATACATGAAAATATCATCAGCCTTTATGTGGATGAACGGTGCTTATGAGCTCGCCTTATAGGTCTGACATCGGCTCGATTGAATCAACTCCCGGCTCAGAATATGCGAACGTTCCGTCAGTACGTCATTCAAATGGTCATGCTGAAACTTCATTCGTAGGTACGGGTAATGGTACGTTTTACCGAGGTCTGCTTACATGCCTCGTCTTTTTTCTTTCATGTAGTCGTTTTGATGTTTTGCTTTTTTAGTACGTCGGGTTGTGCAGTATCATTTCACAAACTGGAATGACTACAAAGCGCCTGAATGCTCCACAGGATTATTGCGGTTTTTGAATCGCTTACGAGAGTTGCCAGAATTCAACGATTATCCTGTTGTGATACATTGCAGGTAAACATTGGGAAATTTCTTCTCTTTTTATGTGATGTTTGAGCAGGTTTCATTTTTCTCTGTGTATCGGGATTAACCTAGTAAAAGCAATTTTTTCAATCAAAGTCTTTGCCTATTCAGCGCTGGCGTCGGTCGAACAGGAACGTTCATTGCTATCGATAGCATGCTGGATCAATGTGCTGCTCAATCTAAAGCGGACATCTTCAACTTTGTCGCAGGTCTTCGAAAACAGCGGAACCTTATGGTGCAATCTCAGGTAGATAATTTGTGCTTTCATCTTATATCTAGCATCAGCAGATTTTTTCTTCAGGAACAGTATGTGTTCATCTACAAAGCGCTGGCTGAATGGCATCTGTTTGGCTATACTGACATGGATGTTGAACAGCTAAAAGAACATTATCAAGAGTTGTTGGAACCAGCAAATAGGTAAGCACTGAAGATTTTTCGCTTTCGTTTGGACTGAAGACAGCTTTCAGGGACCGATCATCGTCATTTACAAATGCAGTCAAACTTGTCACACGTCCTGATGCTGCACCTACGACTGGCATGGAAGTGGAGTTCCGGGTAAGTGCACCCAGGCTATTTTTTTGCCATATTGAGCTGGTTTCTTGTCTTGAAAGGCACCATTGATTCATATGGACTGTATTGAGATTTTGACGTTATATAGTAGCGGAACTCCTTACCAAGCAGTCTCCCAAGTTTGCTGCAAAAGATAAAATCAGAAGCGAGAAAATCGCTTTAGAAGATAGAAGCGGCCGCGCTTGCTCCGCCCAATGTAGGTGGTCTGAAGATACGAGTCCGAAATCGGGCTTCAGGGTAGACAGAGTTCGCATTCGAAAATCTTGATGAAGAAACGGATTTATGATATTTTTGGTCACATTGAAGCCTGATTTTGGCTTTGTTATCTTCAGACCAGTTCGGCTAATGGGCGGAGCCAGCGTGGGTGCTTCGTTTTTCTCGTTTTGAAATTCATCTTTTGGAGCGAGGCTTGGGCGATTGCATAGTCACGTGGCCCGCTATTATATATCAACAAAATCTCATCACCTCCAATCCGGTGAACAACGCCTTTATTTTTTGTGAAGCGTCTTGTTGAATTTGAATTTTTTTCATTTTTGACCATTTTCAGAGACTCGAAAGAACTCTGGAAACCCCGGCAAAGTGCTCGTTTGCAGCCAAAGAAGACAACGTGATGAAAAATCGGTTTGATTCGGCGGTACCATATGATCGTAATCGTATCGTACTACGAGCATCGATCGGTTATGCCGATACCACTTACATCAATGCCAGCTCTCTTAAGGTGAGTAGTTCTAGACTTTTTTGTAGATTTTAAAAGAAGAAAATTTTTTT